CCTATGTGCACACAGCACCTGCCCGGGTGTGCTCACAGCAGCAGCATTCATAAGACCCCAAAATGGAAACCACCCCAGGGTCCGTGGACCGATGAATGAATAGGTAAAACATGGTACTATGGCCACACAATGGAATATTATTCAGCCGTAAAGAGGAAGGACGGACGGACACGCCCTGTAGCAGGCACCTGGAAAACATCACGTTGCAAGAAAGATCACGGATGATTCCATGTATCTTGTGTCCCAAGGAGATAAATCGATACCAATAGAAAACAGATTCGCGGCGGCCAAGTGCTGGTGGGAAGGACTACTGGGGAGCGACTGCTAATGGGAGGGGGTTTCTTTTGGGGGTGAAGACAATGATTGTGGTGATGGCTGCCCAACTGAGACTCTACTGGGAACCACTGAGTCATACATTTTACCCCGGCCGGCGTGGCTCTGTGGTTGAGCATTGACCTATGAACCAGGAGGTCATGGTTCGATTCCCGGTCAAGGGTACATGCCCGGGTTTCCGGTTCCATCCCCAGTGTGGGGCATGTAGGAGGCAGCCGATCCATGATTCTCTCTCATCATGGATGTTTCTACCTCTCTCCCTCTCCCTTCCTCTCTGAAATCCATAAAAATATATTCTTTTAAACAAAAGAGTCCGTACATTTTAAAAAGGGGGAATTGGCATGTGAATTGTATCCCAATGAAGCCGTGATAAAACAGAAAAGAAAGAAAGGAGAGAATTTCCCCTTTCAAGCATACAAAGTGTCATGCAAGGGATTGCACAATCGAGTGGTCTGCTTTGGTTTATGAGTGGAATTTTTCTTTTTCATCAGCTTTCAAGCTCATTTTTTTTAAGGCAACTTTTCTCAGCGTTTGTGCTCAGAAGTCCCCGCTCCACCCCCCTGGCCCTGACCACTGCCTGTCTCCAGGCCAGGCGACCCTCTCCCCCCCACCCCCCGTCCGTGGCCCTTGGCCTAGCCCATTCCACACGCCTCCCCGCCTGCTGCGCCCGCAGTGCTCAGCTGCTGCCAGCTTCAAATGCCAGAGCTGCCACCTGGGCCCTGGAGACGCGGGCCGCAGTGTTGTGATGTGTTTGGAGGGGGAGTGTGCTCGCTGCCAGCGTTGCCAGGCTCTGGGGTGACTAATCCCATCTGCATTTCTGCTTTCGGGTGCCCAGGCCGTTCAGCTGGAGGCCCTCAGCCCTCTCAGCTGTTTCTGGAGGCGCTCGCCTCCCAGTGATGGACGCCTGAGCGCGATTAAACCCCTTCCGCAGCCCCCGCAGCCACGCTCGCACACGCATGTGTCCAACGAATCTTTACTGAGCACCCACTGTGTCCTGAACACCGTTCTAGGGGCACAGCAGTGATAAGACAGAGTTCTTGCTCGAATGGAACAACAAAAAAATACACAATTTTTTTAAAGGAAAGAAAAAAAATGCAGATCATGTTAGAGGTGCCGTTCAGACAAATGAAGGGGCGTGAGGTGGTTGTGAGTCCTTAGAACAGCTCCTTCTGATTGTGGGGAGGGGAGAGGGCTCCTCTGGGGAGGTGGCTGAGAAAGAGGCCCATGTGTGAAGAACTGGAAAAAGAATGGTCTAAGCCAGCGGTTCTCAACCTGTGGGTCGCGACCCCTTTGGGGGTCGAACGACCCTTTCACAGGGGTCGCCTAAGACCACCGGAAAACACCTATATCATTACATATTGTTTTTGTGATTAATCACTATGCTTTAATTATGTTCAATTTGTAACAATGAAATTGGGGGTCACCACAACATGAGGAACTGTATTAAAGGAGCGTGGCATTAGGAAGTTTGAGAACCACTGGCCTATAGCCACACCCCAGGCTTCATTTCAGCACTCGGGTTCCAGACCTTCCCAGCGGGAGGAAGGCACTCACTTCACGTGCCTGAAGGCAGCATGTGCAAAGGCCCTGAGGCAAGAATAATAAGGAGGCCAACTCGAATAGAAAGAACCCAGAATGTAGAGTAGATGGCCGTGGGCTGGGAACCTCTTTCTACCTGTGGGAACGAGGGCCATGGCTTCCCCCATCTGTGACATGGCAATAAGGTACCCACGGGGGAGAGCGAAGTGAGACGGTGTGACTGGAGGGCGGGGCACAGGCCTAGCTCACAGTAGGCACTCAATGCCAGGCTTCCTGGTTCTGGCCTCCCCACCCCCACAGCAGTGACGGGAGGAAGGAGTCTCCCGGTTGGCATGCCCGGCCCAGCCGGTACCCAGACGAGACCGGGTGAGCCAGCCTGTCCTTCCCCTGCCCCCTCTGCCTTTCTCCACACCCAGGACTGACTGGCTGGGCCTGACCCAGGGAGGGCGGGCCATGGCGAAGGAGGTGAGACACACTGCCCAGGACAGCGGGGCACACACAACCCCCTGTCCCTCCTCATATGCAGATGAGAGGCCCGAGGTCGTGAGGTCGCACAGCAAGACCAGATTCCAGAGTCCCTTCTCTGCCCACTGGGCACACATGTGCATGTGTCTGTGCGTTTAAATTCCCTCTGAGGGGCCCCCACCTGCTCCCCACTTCCTCCCACACTCCCTGCACCCGAGTCATGGGAACCCACTTTCAGTTCCTGAAGGGCCTGCTTTTTGCACACCGTGTGCCTTCTGCTGCTGTTCCCTCGGCTTGAAATGCCCTTCCTCCCCCCTCGCTCCCCCCTCACCCTTCTCCTACCTGGCAAGCTCCTACTCATCCTCCAGGGCCCAGCCAACTGCCTCCTCCTCCAAGAAGCCCTCCCTGATCCTCAGCCCAACAGGGTCAGTGCAATCCTCCTCCTGGATCACAAGGTGCCTCTCAGTCCCCGTGACTGAGAGCCCTGGGAAGGTGGAAGACAGCCTCTCGCTCAGCTTTAATGTTATTAGTTTCTACTAATCATTCTTTTTGTTGTTGTTAATCCTCACCCGAGGATATTTCCCATTAATTTTTTTTAGAGAGAGGGGGGGAAAGACAGAGTGGGAGAAGCATCGATGTGAGAGAGACACATCGATTGGTTGCCTCCCACACGTGCCCCAACCCGGACCCGGGATTGAGCCTGCAACCAAGCTATGTGCCCTTGACCGGAATTGAACCCGCTTCCCTTCAGTCTGAGGGTCGATGCTCTATCCACTGAGCCAAACCAGCTAGGGCTACTAATCACTTCTTCATGAACACACGAGAGAAAGAATCCATGAACCACCTGGCTTGCCGGTACATGCTCTTAAAGGCCGCAATTGGGTTCAGTGATGTTGTTGTTGTTGGGAGCAGAGCGTGGGCATCCCAGCAGGGTTCCACGTGCGGCTTCACGGGCTGTGCACTGCACAAAGCTGGGAGGCCACGCACACCGACTGCGGTGAGAGTGGCTAGTACCCTCTGGAGGTGCAACATGCCGGCCTGATCCTTGGCTGTTCCGGAAACATCTGCAGCCTTTCAGGTGGTGGGGAAGAAAAGACACAGGCTTTGGATTCAGGCTCATTTGGTCCAAATCCCAGGTTTGCTGTTTGCCCACTGTGTGTCCCCAGGCAAGTGACTTAACCTCTCTGAGCTTCTGCAGTGAAAGGGGACTGGGTACCCACCTCCCCGGGCTGCTGGGAGAATGAAACAAGGCAACCTGGAAATGCCTGACCTAGTGAGTCCTCGAACACCTGGAATTCTTGTTCCCCTCATCTCGCTTCCAAACTGTTTGCACATCCGGCCGGGTTTCTCCCCGACTGGCTGCAGACCCTTTCTGTCTCTGTCCCAGAAGCTGCGACCCTAGGACCGGCTCTGACACAAATCAGGAAGGTCCCTTCCTCCGGGAATCATCTCACATGCTCTCACGAGGACACGCCCTGAAGCATCAGGTGTAGCCGCAAAGGACTGGCAACAACCTGTGTGCTCATCCCAGAGGCAGATTCACAAATTCCGCGCATCCACATGGCTGGGCACCAGCAGCGGGAGCAAAGAGGCAGCTCTCGGCATCGTGACAACAAGCCACCTCCATGACAAAGCGAGCGAGCGGGGAAGAAAGTATCGGACAGGTCGTTCGTTAACTGACCTGCGGGGGGGTCGGGATCTGACCACAGGACACAGAAAATGACACGAGGGACAAATTCTCCGTTCGCCCAAGGATGGCGCATAACTGGTTCTACTCGGGATGCAGGGGAGAAAGACTGAGTCATGATACACAGTGACCGGGGACGGGGGCG